AAATAGTTTTATTTTGTTATCATGACAAACCGAATGTAGGTTTGATTTTTTACTGGAATATTTTAGAAAGATTATCAAGAGGACGAATCGAAAAAAGACTGTTCAAATATTAAGGACACGTGAGAAATAATGTAATGTACTTAGAGTCCTTTTAATGATTTCCACAGACACCCACTCAACAGTGAGCAATTCTTTTATTGACAAAATAAAAAGAAAAAAAGAACATTGTGAAATACATAGCGTGTTCTGTTCCTAAATCCTCAATGTGTTTAATTTCTCTGTGTGTGTTTACCCATCCTCGATTTGGGAACAGATGTTCGATAGAACTGAAAACAAACGTAAGCTAGACCCAACATCCGGTTCCTAGCAAATATGTAATAGCTCGGATTGCGTGATATCTTCTGTTTTAGCCCGGAATTTTTCAAAAGAAATAAACTTCTTTAAAAGACACTGAATGCTTGTTTTTGGTGACATTCCTTATTGGTACTATCTTTTGAAATTGTCCGGTCAAGCTTTCTGACCCAGCTCCTTGTCGTGTCGTAAACAGACCCTTACTGTAACGCTCCATTGAAACATTTTGACGTTTTGAAGGCCGGGGTAACTTTTAACTTATCCAATTAATCATCGGATACAATAGATCTACTGTGGATGTGTGAGAGGACGGAAATAGCATGTTCTTTACAGACCTATGCCTAAAAGCGTGACTAATTTCAGTATCGGGTGTTATGAATACTAGATCTATTTTATTCTGTTTGTGCTGTCCTTTTAACTTTGATTGGCATTCGAATGACCCGTTGATAAAAAGTAAAAATACGTATGTCTCAATTTCTAATCATAATCGGCAGCTGACTAAAAAAATGATACATGTATTAATGTTGGTGTTAGCTTCATTATAATAGTCAAATGGTTTCACCTTTTACATCTTTATTTTTTTGTTGTGAAATAAATTTCCTTCTCTGATGGTAATTTGTACATTAAAATGGATATTTCCTCGTATATAATGTAAATTATAATTTGATGAAAGCATGATAAAGTCAGGGGGCTACAACTGATTGTACAACAAAGATCGCCCCGTCATGTTTTGACGTAGAAACCTCCATCAGCGAGCTAGTTATAGAGGAATCTGCAGTCATATATTACCACTATCTCTAGATTTATCTGTGTTAGCCATTGCGGTAGAAATGACAAGCAGGGCATTTTATTTCGGTAAACGAGAGATTTTGTCTGTTGTTTAAATATTCATGATATCATTTAAGCATGAACTTTTGACTTGATAATAACGTCGCAATTGTGTAGTGTAGTTGGGATACGTTCTGAATCGCCAAATACCATATAAACATAAGATTCGGACCTTATCGGTGAACGATCGTATTATGTTGATATTTAATGTTTGAGGAAGTTGAATTCCTATCGTGTTTGTTATGAGCATGACAGAATGTCACATACAACGTTTTCTACATTGTTTCTCTCCAACAGTTTACCTTCAGAATGTGTCTGCCCCTTTTTTCTCTTGTCTTTTAATGTAATTTATATATAAAAAAATTATTCAAGAGAAGAAAACTCTTGTGATAGGGAAGGACAACTCTTGGAGTACATGATAAGTCTATTAATGATGGATAATTATTCAAATATCGTGGTTAAATTAATTGAATTACCGACGACGTTTCTTCAGTAAAATCGATAACAAAGGGAAATTAATCTATATCAGGATAAGATAACTCTTGTAGACTTTCCAAGAGAAGATAACTCAAGTAGAAGAAAACAAGTGTATGATGGGTTATAGATAACAAAAATTCAATATTGTTCACTTAATATAAATGACATCGTATTTTTGTCTAAATAATCTAAATAATCATTTCATTTTCAAAGTATTAAATCAATATTAGAATTTTAAATCTTATTATTTCTATTTATATAAAGCATGACAATTATGTCAAATTCAAATGGAAATTTTCATGTTTGTTTTATTTCTAGATAACAAAATCTTCACTAAAATCTGATTAGTTTAGAAAATTATATACAAAGCTCTGTGATAACTAAATTTTACGAATGGCTTTATCGTTGGACTATGTTATCACATTAAAGTTATAGAAGGTAAGAGAGAATATGGTACTATGTAAGTATAAGCTACTTTCAATAAATTTAATCTTAACTGTTGAAAACAAAATTAAAATATCACACAAATTCATATACTCAAAATGCAACCTTTTACCAATTAAGCATTGTTTTGAACTTTGAAGTTATATAAATCTAATTACATTTTACTTTTTTCTTCCAGAAATTTTACTTTAAAGAATGCGTTTTGAAAAAAATAAATAAATAACTAAATAAATAAAAATAAAAACATCTATTTAGATAAATGACTAAGAAGTAATTGAGCTAATGATAGATGACCTGGACGTCAGCCAATCAAATAAGACATGTCGCCAGTACGAACTAACGTGTGTAGGTGTACGTGTGTGTACATATCTGCATGCATATTACATGTATACAGAATACGGCTTAGTAACTTACCCTACCCTTGGTCTCTCAGCGCTGTATCACATACATATCGTGTACCAATGGTTTACATTTTATAAGTGAAAACCGGAGGTTCAGAAATTGCTTCATGTAATGTTGATGATTTTTGTATTGTTTAGAAATCAATATGTCACCTGATGTTTGGTATTAATCATCGACTTGGAATTTTAGTCTTTGTTATTTCAATTCGTCAGTGTACAATGCTGTGCCACACGCGGAGCTATTTATAGAAAAATTCGTATTAGTGGTGTATATTCATAACATGTCAAGTCGTTATCAACAATGGCAGTGTCCAAATTGTTTAAATTGCAACACAGTTTCATAAATGTTTTTAAAATACCATTTTGTACACGACAGTTCCTCAGTTGAGCTGACAATTAGTGGGACAGTTCATGAAGTACATTTACTTAGTGTATAAATTTTCTTTTAAGTTTGATTTATTATAAGAACAAATTCATTTCGCATTGTGCATAAATAGTTGTATGTTATTCTTTGTCATATGAGCAAGAGAATATATTCTTATTGAAAATCAAATTATGCTTTTAATAAATAATGAGACTTTCTTTGAAAAAATATATAATTTCATATGCTGACGAAATATTATTAATGTCGAATGGCTTTAAAAATAACCAAGACGTTGACAATGAGTCCAATTAAGAAACAATATAGCACCTGTGAACACCAAGAGCGATGTCATACGCGACATGCGCTAATTCTTTCTAATGTTGTAAGCGCCATGGAAAATGCGCGTGCCTGACATGTGACAAAAGTGATGGCGAAAACTTCAAGAAATAATTGTCATGTTAGTTGAGGTTTATTCGCTCGAAACGTGAAGTATTTGTCGGTTAAATCGTCGGAGGGACTGTCAATTTATTTACATTGCTCAGCCAGATGCCTTTGGGAATGTAGCTGACAAACGCGACAGGATCGGAAATTAGCACTAATGTTTAACTAATGCTCCCTGTCTATTTAGTAATTGATGTCGTACAATTTGGTCCCTAAGAGAAATAGTTGATTTTCTCGGAGAGAAAAAAAGCAGTCGTTTATGTTTTGATTGAGAACTATCTGCGTGGAGGGTCTCATTCGTCACCTGGTAAACGACCATATCGCTTATAATTTTTGATTATTTACACATAACTGACCAACCATTTCCCTGTGTATATGACGTGCTTAGGGTAAATCGGGACGGGTAAGTAAACAGCCAACTGAGGGTCTACACAGGGAAAATTATGAAATAAAAGAAAGGATCAAGTACATTTAAACATAACATCAATGTATATTTATCTCAACTTCCCCTCCTTTCTCCCCCTTCCCTACTCTCTCGGTTTCACCTTGGTTTTAATAGAGGGCTAATTTCACACATGGAAACCTATACATTAATTTACAAAAAATGTGGTCAGGCATCTTAAGGAAATGGGCCCTACCTGTAGGTTATCTGAAGGAGTTATCCTGTATGAAATGTACAGCTTTTCAACTTTACATTTACAGTTATTAAAGTGCATCATTAATTTATGATAATAGATTCTAGCTACTGATGTTCAGAAAAATACTTAAAAATCATCAGAAATAAATATATTTATGAAACCCAGCCAAAGTCAACATTATATATCATTATTTCTACTGTTGTGATGTCAATTTCATAAACACATACCTTAAATGTAAGACGTAAATATTTTAATGACATAATTATCACTCTTTTTATAGATATTTCTTATCATATAATTAGGTTTCAAGCACGCACTAAAACATTGTACGTTATTTATTTCATATTAACCGCTAAAGTACATTGCCATATGGATCGTATCCTGGACCTGACTGTACTTAACAGATGTACATACACATCGGTTTAGAATTTTTTTTCTTAAAAATATTGACTCAAATGATACCCCATCTACAGACTGTGCACCTTACAATATGCTTATTTTTATCAAAATACTTCAAGACATGACCCATCAAGTTTTCTTTTCAGTTTGTGAAATTCAATATTTGAATCAATTTAAATTTGCATTTCATTTACACATATGTAAATGTAATGCATTTTTCTATCAGAGTTTTCTAAAATAATGAAAAATCACCCCAGAAGTTTGCATTTGTTTATGTTGATTATGACGGATGCTATAAGAATTTTTATCAACTTCTTTCTTCTTTTTCTCCGAGAAGAAAAGCACTAATTTATTTTTTTATCGAGAAATTTCTGAGTGAAATTTATGAAAAAAAGTAAGTTTTGTTAAGCTTACAGATAAATCCCTCCAACTCTGGTAACGTGACATAGATTTTTAAATACGAGTTTGAATATTGACAAAGCAATTTTAAATGTAGGCAATTGAAAATAGGTCACGAATACAAGACTGAAAACATAAAGTTATTTTCAGCTTTAGCTTATTTAGTTCCTTGTCCAATGAATATTGACAAAATAATTTGGTAGTATTATTGACCGACCGACAACCGACAGAATCTAAATTAACACAAACGATGTGGTATCTTTTGTCATAATTATTTAATTAAATACATGCTTCAATAATGAAACTAACAAAAACATAGATTTTGATTGTATTTATTATTAATATTGGGTAGCAGGTGTTTTTTGTCAGAAAATTAGTTTGCGTTAGAATAAAATATCATTTTGTCTTCCACTTGGTGAATAAGACATCCCCATAGATAAAAAACATATTTGAAAAAAAAATCCTAAATTGTAGTAAAATATTCTGACAGACAATATCTTTAAAATTGCTCACTTTGTCTACACAAACATATTTTAAATTAACTAAATTGTAGACTAGCTCTACAAGTTGATTGTATTAGTCTTTTCAAACATGTTTATATATTTACAAAAAAAATGTATGGGTTATGAACAAAATGTTACATTTTCTAATTAACATTTGGTAAATGTAGACTTTCAATATTATCCTGTTATTTTTATACACACAAGTGTTAGCCTGCATGACAGAATTGCACTTAATCTATATTCTAAATTTAATAACATTTTTTATCTAACATATTTTGATTTTCTGCAAAATAAATTTCAAAACAATACACATGCCCTGCAGAACAAAATTATAAAGAAAGCTGAATGGATATTTCCGACACGCAGTCTTGGTCACTTGAACATCCAACCAAGCACATTACACTTCCACAGACAACATTAACTATATCATGTTAAAAATGAGTTACTCCCTCAGATCACTCTCTCTTGTGTATGATATTGAATTCTGCTAAATCCATGTATTATTATCTCCATACTGAGACAAACGTAGTGTCAGGTGAGGTTGGCAAGCAGCATGGCCGCCATTTTGCCCGGAAACAGACATTTTGATTTCTGGCAGTACTTCCGGTCCATATCCGAGCATGCGCAAATACTACAGGTTTGATTATTATTATTATTATTATTATTATTATTAATATTATGGCACACTAGAATTTGTACCACGTCATGGTAAACTTTGGTCTCACAAATATTCACAGACAAGTATATCATGAATAATTTTTCACACGTTTGTTTTAGTACTTTGCTGTTAAAGACGTTTTGTCAATACTTTCATAGTGTCTGATATTCGTGAAGAAGTCCAACATCTTGGTTTGAACCGTTTGTGACCGATAACACCCCACTTCCGGGCGGAGGACCGCTGTTTCCGATGCTGGGGTGTAAATGCGCGTTAGGCATTGCTTTTTGAAGATCAGCATAAACGGAGCTATGAGGGTGGGTATGTGTGTGTGAATTTGGCGTCTCCTGGGGCTCCAGTTTTGTCTGTATGTGTTGTGGTACAGACATAGCATCGTCACTGAGATCATCCTTAGTTGTATCACTTTGAGGGGAACCAACATCCTGTCCAAGTTGATGCCCACCTTGCGAATGGTCGCTGAAATAGACGGAACCGTCTCTGTAAATAAAATAGGCAGGATTTGGAGTATAGGTAAGCAACTAAAATGCGTTAAAACCATAGCAGCATCCGATTAATGATTTAAATAATAAAAATGCCTTTTCATTAAAAAGAAAATGCTAAATCAAAAAATAATAATAAATAATAATTTGTTTTGTTAGTGATAGCAGCGTATTATTGACGATTCATGCTTTGATGTTGGTGAGAAATGAATTAGTAAAGAATGATATAGCCAGTTATAAACATGTTGCGGGTTTGATTTTATAAATATTATAATAAATTATTATTATTTTTCATAATTAAAATAAAGATTAAATAAGCGCTTGCAATTAAGAAAACAATGCAATAAATTAAATACAACGTGTTTTCGTTGTAATAAATAATTATGTGGCATTTCTGTCTAGTAAATCAAATTAGGGAGAGCAGCTCGAGTAAGACAATAACACAGAAGATCACATGACAGATGTTTATATCTAAGGACAAACAACAATATCACAAGACACATTACAAGGGGAATTGTACATAGGTGTACAAAAAATAAACTATATTCTTAATTCAAGTTGGAAAATTTAGTTATCCGCTCTTTCTTAGCATCTAGGACCCTATGGGGCCAAACGACGAAGGGTAAGGATATCGCGTTTCTTCAAGTCAAATTACCACCTTGCTTTCCCAGTTATGTCATTAGGGCTGAAGAATACAAACGCTTTTGTGCGCTAAAGAAAATAAGCAGGTATCGGGTTCTCAGCTGTGTAATTTGATACCGATGGTAGTCCCGACCTTACGAGCCAGAAATAGAAAGTTAGAGCGTATCTCGTCGGCTAGGGGGATGGGGAGGCAGTGTGGGGATATACATATAAACTAGTACATAGTGTGTATAGGGCAACCATGTTGAAACGAGACATCCATCTTGGAAACACTAGAAACGTTGAGCTTTCTGACTTACCCACTGTTCTGACAACCAAATATCAAGGAAAGACAGTTTGAAAGAGAGTTAACGTGGGGTCGGGATTGGACAAGGATGGTCGGGTCTAAATGACATATGTAGTACAAGTTTACAAGACATTTGGGGAGGGTGAACGAGAAGGGAGGGGTGTTAAGATGGTGTCTGGAAGTTTCAAAACAATTTCACGTTGAATGCGAAATGGTGTGATAGAAACTAGTAGCGTACAGATAAGTTATGAAGGGAATGGGTGGGGGAAGGATAGGTGGGGGTAGGATGGGTTGGGGTAGGATGGGTGGGGGCGAGGTGGGGTTAGAGGGGTAAAGTAAGGTCAGTTTCGGAATATGAATGACGGAAAGTCTTACCGATCCTTAACTTCCGCTGCTCTGTCCCTCTGTCGTCTGTTTTTGAACCAATTACTAACTTGAGTGGTGGTCAGTCCCGTACCCTCCGCCAGCTCACGTTTTTCCCGGGGGGACGGGTAGGGATTATGGGAATACCAGTCCCGAAGTACATTCCTGGATTTCTCTTTAAAGCAATAACTCGTCTCCTCTCCATCCCAAATAGTCCTGGGGAGGGGGAACTTCCTTCTTACTCGGTACTTCCCCACGGCTCCTAAAGGCCTACCTCGTAGTTTCTCAGCCTCTATATAATGCGCCTTTAGCCACAGCGCTTGAAGTTTGGGATGATTATGGGGAGAAAAGTTATTGATTTCAAGAATTTTATAAAGTTCTTTAAAGTTTCCTCTGTGGAAGGCCACCACGGCCTTGGCTTTTAATACACTTTCATTTTTGTGTAGGTGTTCACACGCTGGTAATGACCACAAGAACCTGGCAAGTCTGTCTATATTTCCACCTTGTTGTAGAACTTCGCACACACATGCTACTTGTTCCTGAGTGAACCCGAAGGACGGGAGCATTGCTGGAGACGGTGATCCGACTCCGGATGACGGAGCTGGCTCATGTAACATTGGAAGGTCCGCGTAGGGTCCAACGGCTGTTCCGTTTCCAGGTCTAAAGTGCACTGTTAAAAGAGAAAACAACAATTTCAGCGTGTTGTGATATTAAATCTGTCTGTCTGTCCACGGACTAGACCCATACTACTCTGTATGAGTGTGTGTAATGGTTGAATGGGCCCCGTTCATTGGTCGCTTACACGACCTACTCGGTATATCGTTATTCACACGATGCCTGAGAAAATTGATCTCCTAGGCAACTACGTCAATCATGGAACCTGATACGAGAGGGGGCGGGTATCAGCCTCAGAACGACTTGGAACGATACAACCCGGAGTTTTCATTTAATAGCCTGTATTTATACTGCGTTGATCAATTTACTAAAAAATGTACACAGAATAAAATGGCAGACGATATCGCCCTGAAGTAAATCAGGTGTGCAAGCTACAAGGACAATGGGTAAATTATCACTGTTTTTCTCTATTGTATATCGCCTCTCTCTTCCATCACGGTTATATTCTATCTAACACAACAATAGCTATTTCGTTGTGAAATTAGGCATATGGTCGGTTTCACGTAGGTAAGGCATGTGTAGTCTATTTATACAGTACTAAATATTCCCGGGGCTAAAAGCTCAGACAAATCCATTGAGTAACCCTTAAAATTACTACTTACATTCACACCTAGCGATTCCAAAATGATATAAAGTTTATGAATTTATCTAAAATTTAAACAATTATTTTGAGTAGAAGATTGCGGGTTAAAATTTTCACAAACAACAAGAGGCACTCAGAATAAAGCTCTACAGGGCTGTTGATAAAAGGCAAATATCGGAGGAACGGAAGCGCATTATAGTAATTGGAAGTGACATGTTTACCGAGACAATATTTGGAATTGACTGAAGGTAGTGAGGGCTGTCGAGACGACATGGAGAATCAAAATCACCACAGATGCCGGGTACTGACAAAAGCTTCTCCCAGCGGACATTTCAATGGGGAGAACATCGCATTCACATTAAATTTACTGATAGTTTTGTTCACTGTAAATTAAATCTGTCTATAACATTTTTGAAAGAATTTGAAAACTTTCAAATATTTGTTTACCTGTTTATAATAAATTTATAAAAATATTCCAAACATATTTATAGTATTTCACTACACGTGTAAGCATGTTGGTATCCCTCGCAATGACAATAGATATTCATATAGGATTGAAAAAAAATGAGCGTAATGAATATATAATTTCAATTTACACATGCCTTTATTGGGTATATTTGGTAAGTGTAGTTTATATATCAAAATCATTTACTATTTTATTATCTTTAAATTATATAGTAATGTTGTAACAATCATATCTGTAACTACAGATATTTGAAATTAATTTATCTCGTTTTCTTTTTTCCTTTTTTTTTAATTATTTCATTTCTCAGGTTTTCACATTTCATGTTTCTAAATTAAGAAAACAAAATGAAAGGAAACAACATATCTGTCTAGATATTTTAATGATAATATCATTGATGCAATTTGTTAATATTTTTTGAGAAATCCATGATTCGATTTTAAAATATGTAAATATTTCAGTTTTAATTTCCAAAATTTTCAGAAATAAATGTCAGAATTACAAGCAATATTTGTTTTATAAATTGTATCTTTTTAAGGTATCATATTACACAATACAGGTATTTTGTTGACAAATAACACGTGCGTCGGTTGACACGAAATCCAACACACAATATCGGTTCTCAATATGACAATACACAGACACCAAAATCACAGCAGACAGATCGGTTTTCGTACAACTAGAAATTCTTCTCACTTCGGAAGACACCGTTTATGTCAACACACTCTAAAATTAGCTGCTTTAAAGAACCACCTCCGTAAATTACTTAGTCAATATTTCTGTTGGAGCCCGGTAAACATACAAGGCATTCAAGCATATTTTACACTAACCTTCAACACGACAAAGTAAACACGGAATTTCATAAATACCCATAATCTGTTCGCTAAAGATCCGTTCTCTGGGTGTTTGTTTAGGATAAAATTCGCCTTTACTGCCGATCAGAAGTATTATATTTCAAATACATTTCATATAAAAAAACTAAACATTTATGTACGACGACTGTAATTTCATTAAAAGGAAAATATATGATTCGTTTAATCAGAACCAAATTGGTATTTTGTCACATTCAGAATATTATCCCAGTGGCTATTTTATACTTGAATCAAATGTTTACACTAACTATTGTCGTCCTAATTGCCAGGTTTACACGGGAAATAATCCCGGTAAAAACGTTACCTTTCTCATCAGTAAAATCCCATTCGAGAGGGAAATCTTCGTCATCAGACAACGACATGGTAAATTCCAGGATTCCGGTTTTGTAGTTAGTCGATAAGATTGTTTTCTAGCAGTAAACACACATATATATGTATATATATATATAGCTCGTGCCTGAACGAATGCGTGTATATGCTATAAAGCTAAAGACGACTAGAATCTGTACCAGTCTTTTGTATGTACATGTGTATGTGTGTATGTACACGGTCGCTTTCTCCAGATGAAATGGACATAGGTGGAATTTTCAGGGATACAAGATACCAAGAATCCTAAGTGTACCATGTGTGTTGGAAGCCATAGGACACATCCTGTGGAAACATATGTACCTACTGTCAAACCGGACAGTGTATGAATGCCCCTCCCAGCGGGGAATGCCACCTAATTTGCCTGTCAATCTCCGGGGGGTTGAAGGAATCCCGAATGACCACCAGTGACCAATCCCCTCCGGCTTCGTGGGGTGGTCAGTCTCAAGATTAATGGACTGTTTAAGAGCTTACGTAATAGACCGATCCGTATGTACACAAGGGACAAATGTCGATGCTGGGAGTCTCCCTATCATCCGTATTATTAGTTGGTTGGACAACTGTCATGCTACATGCATGCTTTGTGAAGCGCATGATTTCATATGTTTTCACGTTTGAATTGTTCCGTGAAATCGATTGCAAGCTTTTGTTTGTGTATAGAAAATAAAAGATGCATGTATAGATTCAGTCAATGTATTTGACGTAGTCTTTCACTGTTGTAGCGTTTGTTTAAAGGCTTCTGTTCAATAAGTCATATACACAGGTAATTTTCATCTAAAGAAATCTTGACTCCAAAACAAAATTCAAACATATCAGGTTACATTTTCAACAATCTTCAAACAATTCCATCAAATGATTTTTCAATATGATAATTTCTTATCAAAGGTTTGAATTCCCTCACTTTTTTATGTATTATGTTCTCGATGTAGTACTCATCACCCCCACACCCCCTCCCCCTACCCATAAGCTCACATAACGTACGTACATACACAGACTGGTATGTCGAATTAGGATCAGATGTTGCAGGCATGTGTTTCAGCTAATAAAATGTAACATGATACTCGGTAAACTGATACGAGACTCAGCTGGTCGAGTACAAGTCCACAAGTATTCTCCATGATTAAATACACACGATGTTACTGCAAAAACACGACTGGTTCAATGGTCCTTCGCCACAAAAATATGAACATTTCTTGTTTACACAAGTCCCATAGTTGTACATTGGAGGATGTGGAAAAGATCCAGAGAAGTTCTCCTCGATCTAATCGGTGTTATATCTACCTGACACGGAGTATACACTTGCAGAAAGGATGCAGCTTTGTGTGTACAATTCAACAGATTTAAAAAGAAAATATCACGTGACGAACAAATCTACAAATCAATTGCGAATTTAAGGTATCTTCGCTTTTGATCTCCGTCTATTTGCTGTAAAGCGTCGTGTAGCCATACCCAATTATATTTTCTGAATTTCTGAATTTGCCAGTGATATATTTGTCACATATATGACAAGAAAGATAAATCTACTCAGATCTGTTGTGTGTGTAGTTGTTATAAGTACAAAACTATAACCATATTTGTGTTGCTCGTAAGGTCGGGACTACCATCGGTATCAAAATACACCAACCCTCATTAAATTCTTTAGGATCCTTAAAAATTCGCAAAATAAGAAACTTTGTTATTTTTAAAAACTTATAACACTAATTTTTTCATATCATATTTTACCGTGAGAGGAAAGGTTTCTTCCACAGGTATAAATAAAGTCAGGCACACTGTCATGTATTTTTCTTCTTTTATTTTTTTCCAGAACGCTTTCTATGTGTATACAATATCAAATTTGATTATGAATTACGAAAAACAAACAATCTTAATGAGAAATATTGAAAATATAATTTAATGCTGTGCATTGTGATTCTATCTATCCATAGATTATTAATCTAATGTAAAAATTTCCAAACATCACCTCTAATTCTATAAATTGTACGTTACAATTTGATACAAAAGAGGACGAGTGTTATCTTTTGTTTTTAATGAAATGTTTTCAGAAATGTACATTTGGTCCCAGGAATTGTGTTACAGAGAGAAAAATGACCCACTTTTTAATGTTTTATTGTTTTATTAAACAAAACTTGCACGTGCGAGTTTTTGTTAAAGTGTCGCTTGAAAATTACCTAGATATGTACTTGTTTCAGCTGATTTCGTAAGTAGCTTCCATTACATATGTATTAAAAATTTATAGGTCACACTGTGACGTCATCACTTTAAAGCACTCTTTGACACCTTGTGCTATTTGAGGCATGCACTATACGTCACATAGTTGCACGTGTGAGTGCAACTACGGTACAAGAATGCCCAAAACGTTTACACGTGATGTTCACGGTCCTGAAGTTAGTGTGTCACATTAACTATGGCGTGTATGAATTGTTCCATTTCACGACTAAGTCACAGTAAGAAATTCAATGATTAGACAATGTTTCAACTACAACACTAAACCACATCTGCTCTCAGCTTGATCTCCCCAGAAAGTACACGTCTCCTTACTATAAAGGTATATCATTATGCTTCAGAGCATCCTGTTTGTTCTCGATATGCTAGTCTACATAAATTTTATTTATCAAAAAACGCATCCTGGGTACTAAATGTCTGTTGTAAAAGCTTAGTATTTTTTTTATTTATCTTCAAAAATAGAATGTAAAAAAAAGAAAAAATAGATAAAAAATAAAAAAGGAATATTTTGAATATTTAAAAAAAAATAAGATTCAGATGAGCTCACAATCAATTTGACGTCGTAAATAGTTAAGTGACATTTGAAGAAATCTTAAAGAAAGATTCCAACGACGAGACAATAACCGTTTGTAAAATAATTTAAAATCTAATATATATTTATATTTTGTTTTTATTAATTGTCTAGATGGACTCAAAAAGAAGATATTTTCCATACAAATTATGAAGCGTAAATATTTTTACACAAGACTATGGCTTTATAAAACATTAAGATGATCAGCAGAAATCTTGTAAATATTTCTAGCAATCATAATGATATTGTGTGTTTGTATGTCCATAGGTTTAAATCATTTACGGTGGTCCCTTGTTTAAATTGAAGAGATTCTATCAAGCATCTTTGCTTTCTCTCACAGCAGGATTAATGTCTTATAAACGATCCCAGTTTCACAGTTTTTTCTCGAGTTAAGCTGTTTACGAGGCAAATGTCGAAAGGAAACGCCAATGCGCGTTAGATTAGGCATGTACCTGGAGACTATGGGGAAAGTAAGTTGACGGGCGTGATATTAAACATCATCGTAGAACACTTGTCATTATACTCAGGGACTGGCTCACAACTGACAGAAATATTAATGGTAAAAGTTTCTGGTATGGGAGCCAATGTTCACAATGAAGGACTTTCGTAAGAAATGCATCGCAATTTTGGTATTACCTATCATTTTCTTCTTCCTAAATATGATTTTTCATTAAACTAAATCAGCATGCTCGTGACATAAAAAAATATCATGTTAAATTATCATTATATATTTTTGTATTCATAACACTGGAATTGAAAACGAACGCTGTAGAGGTAATCACAAAGGATGAAAGAAAAAAAAACCTTAAAGCACAAGGTCATTAGAGGCTGTATGAGATGAACGCCATCCATGTCGACATATTGTTCGAATTAGTCGAGATTTAACTGTCCTAGATATGCCACGCCCTCAATTTATGAATTATCCTATCCATGAAAGTCTCTGTAAATATGTCTAAATTTACTATCTGAAGGCTGGAGAAATAAATCATTTTTCACCCGCAATATTTCAAGATCATGTCTAAACCGAATTAACATTTCAAGGGATTCTTTGAAATTTGATTCGATAATCTATCATTATATCTATGACATTAAAACCTCGTTATAGAGAGATCACCAGGCTCCACAAGTCATTCGTTATGGAGCAATTGATAACGACAGACGTTTAGGCCTGTATCCTCTATGTGCTTACAAAGTTGATGAATAAAAAACTCACGGAATGAGCATCTTGCTGTGCTCACCTCTGTTTTTTAAGCCTTTGCGGTAGGTCGCCACTAGTTTTTGTCGTTATGGGGCCCAGACCACCCCGATTGCCCGTTTCTCGTTGACGCAGTTATTCCATGTAACTCAACTTTTCACATCATGTTATTAGCGAGCGAAGTCGTCGCACCGCCCGCTATATAGCTAGGGGCTACATCTCATATGATTATCATCGTAACTTACTGCTTTATGAATTGGACTTTTTATGCCACACACAGGAATTTTTGAAGCTGTCATACCGGCAGTTATAGCCTTAGATTTATTTGTTTCGTATGACGTATGTAATTTTCATAACTTTAAGATCGTAACCATCTCGAGAATCGCGAATGCCATTATGCTTTACGAGAATTCAGAATTATTTTTTACGTTATAAAATTTTACAGTTTTTTAATGAAATCATTTATGTAAAAAAAAAAAAAAGAGAGATATTTTAACCGATTTTCTTTAAGGAGTTATTCCCCTTACCGTTGATGTATTATTGCTTTTAATAGAAAATGATACTTGAATAAAATGAAATAAAACATATAAATTTCAAATTTAACACTTTGGAAACATTTCAATTTATAAAATATACTTCTGTTCACGTGCTGCAAATTTTAGATTTAATTTGACGCGAAGACCATATGCAAACTGTTGAATATAATATTTCCTGTTTATTTGCAGCAGAAAAAAAGGTCGAATGTATGGCGCGGTTTTCTGCCTGTGTGGTGAGTTAAGGGCTACCCACTAATGGCAAACAGCATCTAATTTGGCCTATCACATCGTACATCGGTTGTCCCTGCCCGTCAAAATCACGCACCGTTTGGTAAATACGCACCGGTAACGACCAAAACGTTTCTCCGCGTGTTAGGAGAAAACCCGTCGAAAGCGTTCACGCTGTGTCTTATACTTTCACAGAGGTCACATAAACACTATCTCCCGATTTTGGTAGAAATTATTTCTTGGATAAAACAGAATGGAATAGGTTTGCTGTCAATATGATCCGAGGTGATGATTGATTTATTCAGACGGTACCTCTACCGCATCATGTATCCGTCACTTTAACCCGAAATTATAAACATACGTACAGAGAGATTAATCATAAGTTGGAAATTGTCGCACTATCGTGAAGCCAGAG